CCTTCATTAATTGCAAATGGCTCTAGTGACTGGGGTGTGAGGTTTGCTCTAGGACAGCAGAGTGCTCTGCTGATGTTTACATAGGAGTGCACACACACACACACACACACACACACACAGACACACACACAGCTGCTCTTGCACTGGGGCATCAGAGGGAGGGCTTACTGTAATGCTTACAGATGTGCACACATGTCTGTGAGTAGGAGTCTTGCTCTCAGGAGCTGCAGCACGACTGAACAGAGCACGACTTCACTCATGTTTAACTGTATGTATCTTTTTTTTTGATTTGCCATTGAATAATACAACTGAATGATTTGAATAAGTTTACAGATGTCATATATTTGTATTCATGCAGATATGTTCGCTGAACACAGAAGAATAATTTCTTAGCATTAATTTTTTAAACACCCATTACGCCATCTAGTGTCTGAAAAGCTCATGACAAGTTGCAGGCGCTGGTGATCTTGCCTACACATTGCCATAGTAAAATGAGAATATGAGCTAGTGTTGCCCCTTTCCTGGAACATAAACATACCAGAGGCATAAGACATGTGTATGGTGTCTAAGGTGGTTCTGTGTTGTATCTGCTGTCTTGCAGGCTGTTTGCTTGTTAACAGTGGTGCGGAAACACATCATTCGAAAGGCTAAAAAGAAGTACTTTGGAGCACAGACTGTACAAGGCTGTTATTAAGTTATGAGTCTGAATTACAAAATATTTTCCACATAGTTCTGTCTAAAGAACTTGCACTCTTCCTAGTCCACTGAGATGAGACACATGGCAAAGGGAGTGAACTGGCAAGCCTGGCAGTAGATTCACTGAGCTGAAGTGTGTATGTTGTGTTTTTGATGCATTCCAGAATGTATGTCAATCTCACAAGGGCTCCCTGGTCCCTCACATACCACTAGAGGGCGGCATTTTACAGGGGCAACATCTGCGTGCAAGCTGACCAGACCATGCATTCCCCGAGCATCGTGTAACTGCTCTGTTTTTACTCGCCTGAGAAGGGCCACAGGTGGGACACTGTTTACAAACAGAGCTTCAGCCTGAGGTTAGTGCCAATTTTCCCTGTGTGAGACTAGACACGATCAACGTGAGCGGTCCGTGGGAGGAGTCAACGTGAGCGGTTTGTGGGAGGAGTCAACGTGAGCGGTCCGTGGGAGGAGTCAAGGACAGGCTGACAATTCGGAGAGTAAAGGCCACTCTGAGACCAAAGAGGTGACTGACGAGGTGTTTATCACTCATGTGGACATGAACCTCGTTCCTGCGATACATATACATATCAACCAAAGGTGAGGAGCAGGAAAAGGGAATTCTGACAAAAAGAAAATGAAGTAGGTGAAGGTAAGGGTTTGCAGTGTGTAGCAAGGCCCTGTCTTCTGCTGCTCCGAACCAGCCGGCCCTGCTTGGGCCCCTATCTAGAATAAGTACAACGAGCAAAACATTTTTATTTGCATTCCACTGTTTCCAAGTTTTTAGTGCAGGCCTTATGCAACACAATGAATGTTCGAACATGGCCACCTGTACGTACATTCCCCTTTTACAGCTATTTAAGCATTCAGCCAATCCCTTGTGTGAAATTTCCTTAAAACACATTGCAAAGGTGATTAAGGAAATGCATTTATTGCCTGTTTTACACACACGTTGTAATATAATCATTAATATTGGCATGATGGTGGCGTGTGCCTTCCAAGCATGGAGTTGTGGGATTGCTCAGTGCTGCTGGAGGTTCTTGCTTGCCTGCGATGTTACATGTAAACCTGTGGAAAAACCCAGAGATCTGCTTCGTGACTGACGTGTGACAGCTGTGGTCACTCTTAGAGTTATAAGATCCTATTTCCCAAAAGCAACTTCGAGGATATAATTTTATAGCTGCTGGCGATTAGCTTATCTGAAGCAGGTACAGTGTTGGCTGTTCCGACAGGATCAGGATAATCTCAGTTTGATTCACATCCTAAAAAATTGCTTACTACTTCGGAGTGGTGTTCTGCAGTGCAGTGTTTTCTACTGCTATAATAATCCACGTATAATATTTAGCTGTAACGATTTCACATTACTTGCTCCTGAATCTTGAATCGAAAATGCAGGCTGTGAATGTTTTGTATCTGTGTGGGTTTCTACCCTATTCATGACATTCCCTGTGGCAGGCTGAGGTCCGGTCCAAAGCCAGCCCTCCGATTACCTGTGTATGAAGTGAGCTGGGGCAGCATGGTGGCGCACTGGTTACTGCTGCTGCCTCTGGCACCAGGGTTTGAGTCTCCTCTATGGCACTGTGTGGAGGTCACATGTTCTTTCTGTGTTGTTGTAGGGTTTCTGCCTGGTTCTCCTATTTCCAAGCCCTCCCCCAAACACACTGAGGTTAACTGGAGTTACCATACCATCTATTGGTGTGAATGGTATGGGAGTTTCCCTTGTGATGTGGTGGCACCCCTTTCTAGGTTGTTCCTTGCCTTGTGCCCATAGGCTCTAGACCCCTCATGACCCTGAATAGGACAAGTGGTTACAGAAAATGGATGCATGGATAAAATGACGCCCTGCGGTGTGTTGGCAGCTGCCCAGGGTTGATTCCCGCCTGTGCCCATTGTTCCTGGGATGGGCCCCAGATCCACCCCGAGACCCCAGTTGGGATTAAGCAGTTACGCTGATGGATGTATGGATAAAATCACCCTATTAGAAGTTTAGTGTCTCCTGTTGGTAGCTTACTATGGGCATCATGAACAAAGAGGCCATCAAGAGCATGTTCCAGTACTTTTCAAGTGCTATGACACACCCAGTACATGAAAAGTCACACTTTATTGGGAACCAGTGCACCCTGCAATGCCTGGTGCACATTGGTCCAGTACACAGCTCAGCTCTATGCATGGTTTCCAGCAGATGAGCAGGGCTAGCTGAAGCCAGGCATCCTGTCAGCAGTGTGTGAAGGACAGCTGAAGCACACCAAAAGGCACAAGTGCACAAAGTAATAGTACAGCCATTTTGGCCAAAAGTCCAGCAGTGACATGAAATGGCCAACAGGAGGCAGAGTGAACTCTAATCCTCAGGTTTGAAGCCCTTTCTCCAGATACATGATGGCACAAGGGCCGTTTGCCAAAACTACATGTATGTTTTCATTGAAGACCATTTGGCTAAGTAACAAATAGTAAAACCTTGACTAAACCTTCCATTCACAGCATCTGTTTGGGTGAGCGGTTCGCACAGTCGACACGTGGCTCAGGGAGGCTGTGTCTGTCTGAGGTCCGCTTCTCGTGGGCCTTCTTCAGCAAGGGATGCAGCAATTAGGCTGCGCAACAACTTATGTGTGTCTGGCGGTCCCTCATCTCTGCCTTCCCCAGTTCTCTATTCCCTGTCCACTTACTTCAGTTCCGTCCATCTTCCTGCCATTCCTCTCTTCCTTACCCTTTTCCTGTCTACTCAGCTGCTCCCTCCTGCTTTCCTGTCTCTCATCCTCTTCCATTGCCCCCCCCCCCCCAACCTCATATTCTCCTCTCCCTCTGCTCAGTTTTGAGACTCCACTATAGGAGGAGGTCTGGAGAACAGCAGGAAAGCCTCACCCTTCTCTTCCTGGGCTGAAATGACCCCAAAAACATGCCTTGACCCCCCCCCCCCCCAGCGTCGTGCCCGATAACCACTATTTTGGGTGCAGCACTGTATGTGCACTGCACTGCCACTGTATGTGGTGGAGCCTCGATGGAGGATCTGCAGTATATGTAATGTAAACAGGACAGAGCAAATGTGTCTCTAAAAAGGCAGAGACGAGTAACTGCAGAGGAGGGGGACAAAGGGTAGCGTCCAGCAACACGAGCAAATGCCTTGACACAGCTGACAAATCCATTGAGAAACTCCTCCCCTGTAAATGAGGATATACAGCTAAACAAACATTTACAACATGTTTCTATGGCATAGAAATGTATGTGTATGTATGGATATATATTTATCTCATAAATCTGTGTTTCTCAAACCAGTCCTGGAGGCACACTGGACAGATCCACATTTTTGCTTTATTCCAGTTTCCAGAACACATGACCAAAACAATCAGGAACTCTAAATACCTTACAGGTGTGCTGGGAACTGGGATAAAGCAAAAATGTTGATCCGTCCATTGTGCCCCGAGGACCGGTTTGGGAAACACTGTCGTAACTAGATGATTGACTGTGCAGGTGATCATCTGGAGATTAGCTTCTCTGCATCCCACAGCATTATTTTGCATCTTTTGCCACATGCAAAAAAAAGTCTCCCCATTTTTAAATGGTCTGAGGTTTGACTATGAGTATGTATATTATTTTGGTCAGGCAGTGGGCGGGGCAGTAAATGTGAGGCCGTCAGAAGTTGCTGAAGATCTCGTATTTTTTGTTCCAGTCCATCTGTGGTGCCCTCTTGTGGCCACGCTTGGCCTGGGCCTTACGCTTGGCCTCCGCAGCTGTGGGACTGAGGCGGAGGCCACTCTCCACAAAAGGGTCCAGCAAGCACCTCTTGTCATCCTCTGGGACCTGGGAGGGGCACAAAAGAGACAGTGTTTAGGGTTATTATTCATTTGTTCAGAAAACGCTGTAATTCAGAGCTTTCCAGTTATGATATATCCACAGGGGGAAAGTTTTGCTGTCCAGCCACATTTAAAAAATAAATGACTCCCACATCATACATCTGTCTGACTCCTTAACCACCACGCCACCATAACAGACTGAGCTACACCGGGAGGTAACAATGTACAACTATACTTAATGAAAATGGCATGAAACAGACACAAACAAACAGGTATGTGGGCAAAACATCAGCTACTGTATCACAGACCCACAGAGGCCCACCTGTGTGCTGACATCCGGGTTGCTCAGCTCAGAGCTGGTGGACTGGGAGGACTGGGACGTGGAGCTGTCACTAGGCCAAGACTTACGGGAGCCATTAGTGATGGATGGAGCCAAGGGGCCTGCACACGAGAGGAGTGAGGTGGACATGGACACACTGTTGGGTTATGCCATGAAGGTGGTCCTCCCCCCCAAAAAAAGCATTGTACAGCCACCCCCCACTGGCTCCAACTGCGAGTGATGCCCCCACCTTCAACATGGCTTTCCAGGGGAGTAACACCCTGCTTCTTGAAGTGCTCGTCTGTGTCTGGGTCCACCACCAGCAGCCTGGCGTCGCTGCCCCCCCGCTTGATAAGTGCCACCACTTCTGCATGCCGGAGATTCTCTATATTGACACCGTTCACCTGTGGAGAGTGAGTCACATTACCATGAGCCACCAGCAGATGGTGAAACGGAGCCTTTTGAAAGGTTCTGAGCAGTCAAACTAAGTGTCTCTGTGAAACCACCACTTTAAGTTAAACCCAATAAAACTTTTTTCCTTTTCCTCCTCTTGGACCTTGGCCTGATTATTTAAAGTAGGTCATGTCTTCAGGGGACACAGGGAACGTATAAATGGTGCTAGTGCCTCCTGCAGAGATCAAGAGGCATCTCAAAAGCCTTTCTGTTAACCCCCAAGTTCTCACCAAGTCACAGCACTGTTTCTCTCTCTCTAACCACTGTGGACATTTAACTTTGAGTTCAAGGCAACTATTTCCTTGTGTTGTCCAAAGAAGTAGGCAATGGGTGGGTGGTGGAGTTTGTGGGGAGCCTCCCTAACCCTAACCCTAACCCTAGGTTGTCCATGTTAATACACTTAATTTTGGCCTCTTTTCTTCTTTTATCGAGATCTATGTGGGTTGTGCTCTCCTGCTGTCACACTGGGACATGTGCAAGGACTGTATACAGCCTGTCTGATGGGGCAATGCTGGCTCTGCCTGCTAGATGGTACCTGGCACTCAGGTAGGACCCAGTGCCTTCAAAACTTATGAGACCATAGGCTGCTGCCATCAAACCCCAAAATGTCACTGGGATAGTGCTGGCAAACCCCCAAATGTTGTCATTACATCATGTATTTCTGTGGTATCTTCCTATGAATGATATAATGTGTTGAATTGGTCAACAACAAACTCCTGTTGTTTTTTCTCATTGTGCTGTTTGTATTACTATTAAGTTATGAGAACATAACTGTGTCCAGGTGGTAACAATTTTGATATTTGACCCATTTACATCCTGCAAATGAACCAGTGAGTGACGAATGGAGGAAGGGGAAAAATAACAGAAGAAAGGATAAGTAACTAGCCTTTGACTGATGTAATTACCCGTCCCTCTGTTCTGGTGAAGGAGCGGCCCATTGTTTAACATGGGAGAGAGCTCACAGGGCAGCATGGGAATCCTCACCGCAGCTACACTCTCATTGCTACCACACCTTTGTCCTCGATCTCTTCAAAGGTGACCAAAACAAACATGAGCACTGCCCGTGTAACCCAGGAGCCCCATGGGATCAAGACCAGTGAACTAGGTCCCAGGAGAGTGCTGATGTTTTCCCTTTGAGGGTGACGCCTTGTCTGATCTGGGTTGGTAATTAAACACGGAAACAGGGTTAAATTCGGCAAAGCTATAAAGGAAGGGACATGCAGACCCCACACGTGTGCTGAGGTGGGTGTCTTCATTTTACACTGACAGTCCTCTTCCGGTCATAGATTCTGCACCTCGTGTCAGCTTTACCACGTCCCCACTTTCTCCCGATACTGACATCACTTACATTTCGAAACCAAGAGAGAGAGTTTAAGAACAGACTGGCCCCCTCCTTTCACAGAATTTCCAATGGCTTATATTATTGTTTAACTGCTTATCTTGGTCATACTTCTGAAGGAGCGAGGGGGATAGGAGCCTCGTGCAGCAGGCAGAGGCCACAAGGCTGGGGTTCACCCTAGATACCAGTCATGCACACGCAACACACGCATTCAGTCATGCACTTTGGGAAATACAGAGACACCAGGTGGCCTAACTGCATGCTTCAGGGCTACCAGAGGAAACCCACGTGACAGGAAGAACATGAAAACTCCACACACACAGAGCAACAGCAAAGTTTGAACCGCTAACCCTGGAGGTGTCTGCTAGCAAAGCTGTCCACTGAGTCCTCATGTCATGTTCAGCTGTATTTGTTATAATTCCGATATTAGCCCTGAGGAAAAGGGTGTTTATGTCAATAGGGCAGAAATCTGACTAAATGACACCCCGGAAGACTCAGGCATGGAAGTCAGCCATGCTCTCACACCCTGGACCCTTGTTTAAGCATCCTGTGATGGTCCTCTCCTTCAGCCAAGCATCTCCACTTCACCTCGGCCCACCCCTCCTCACCTCGACGAGCCTGTCCTTGGGCTTGAGTCCCGCCTTCTCGGCCGGTGAGCCCGGATCCACGGAGCGGATGAACTGCCCGGGTCGGGTCTTGTCGCTATGTAGGTTGAAGCCATAGCCCTGCTCGCTCTTCGCCAAGCAGCACAGCCGGGGTTGCTGCTTAATGACTGGGGGCTCTGTCTCCTACAGCAGCCAGCAGAGTGGGGTCAGGGTGAGGGAGAGAAATGAGCAAAGGAAGAATAGTTTATGTTTAATTTTTATTCCCCAGAGAGTCCATATTAGTCCGCTACTGGTTTCCAGTAAACACAGCATACCATGTGTATGCCCTACATGCATTGGTGGTATAGTGGTTAGCATAGCTGCCTTCCAAGCAGTTAGCCTGGGTTTGATTTCTGGCCAACAGAGCTTATTTTCCAAAGTAGGAAGATTGAGAAAAGCATCAGGCTTTTGTGTACCGAACAAGGACTCCAGCAAGCTTCTTTACGAAATCCTGCCCTTTCATCACATATCTTTTTACTACTACTTATATCCTTGATATCTACTTTCATTTTTGTCTATATTGTCGTCACTTCATTTTTAACATTTCAATCTTATCCTTTTATACTATTTTATTTTTCTTTGAATTATGCGTTTCATTACAAGCACAGTCCAGGAAACAGCTGGAAAACCACTTCACTCTGCAGATGCTTAGCATATATTTGTGAATGTGACAAATAAAACTTGAAACTAACCTTAAACAGGCTGAATTGTATTTAATATTCGGGATCTATTATGTATCCGCTGGACGGATAATAAATCCTCTGCATACCAATTAGCCATGACGCACAATTATCACCCTTCGTGCGAATGTTTTTTTGCTTTTTTACGGTATACTGCAGACCTTCAGGTATACATTTCAGATACTGTACGCCACGACAGAATGAGCCAGCAAGGTGCCAGACATGCCACAGACACCCACGCATTTAGCAAGGATCTGCCGGCAATTTCTGCTGCCGCACCAGCTGCTACTGGGAAGGCAGGATATAGCGGACTGGCGGAAAGAAGTGCAGGGGAGGTCAGCCCCTGGCCTGCAGTTAGTGCACGCCAGTGCTGGCAAAGACTACGGGCAACATCATGGCCAACGGCTAGTGCAGCTCACAGTCAAAGATAGCAGGTTTGGCAGGCTACTGTTTGCAGGGGCTACTGCTAGTGCAATTGCTGTCAAATGCACAGCACAATACCGTTTATCTATCATCGGCTGCACCAGTCTGGATGCTCTGAGTATCACACATCGCGCCCACACTCATGCAAGCCCAGCAAGCTCCTCCTACCAAACTCACTCGGAGGTCCTTCAAAAATGAGGAGCAATAAGGAGGAACAGAAATGGAATGTTTGAAAGTGAGGGATGCCGGGGCTCTCCGTCACAGCTGAAAGTGCGAGTGAGAGGGCCAGTGCACAAGTGGCTGACGGCTGAAAAGCGGGAGCTCAAAGAAAAGGGGAAACACCTGTAAGACAAACAACACGAGCCATGGGAACAGGCAGCTGCCCGTCTGGTTAAACAATACCGCCTTTACACGGACACAGAGTCGCCCTCCCCACCCAGAACGTGAACCCTCAACCCCACGGCTCATGCGGCCCTCAAGCTTCCCCCCCTCAGCAAGCAGGAAGGGGTGTGGCCTCTTAGGTCCTGCCCCAGAGCACGGCGCTGTGCTGCCTGTAAGTGGGAGGCATTGTGTTGCTGTGATATGTCCGTTGCAGAACAATGCAACCCACAGCCGCTGTTATCGCCATTCCGGTGAGACTGGGCCTCGCCACAGATAAATATAGCCTGGTCACTCTGAGCCACAGGGTGGGGGCGGATGGGCTAATTTGTCGGTGGGGACACCCTGGGGCCAGATGCATTATTGCCTGAAGATCTCCGTGTCCCCCCCATGTGGGCCCCATGCGGCTGCCATGCCTGCTTTCCTCTTCCTGACCGCTGACATTTTGTGTATTCACTTGGCGCGGGATTCTGCCCCAAGCTTTCGCACAGCATGTTGGAAACTCTCCAGCTTAACGTTAGTGACGTTAAGAGCCATTCATCTGAAGACTCCTCCTGAGATTTTTAACATTTTATTGTTTTGGTCGCGGGTCCCTTTCTCCCCCTCAGCATTTCAGAGACTGAAATATGACCCTTCATCTGGGCTTGTTACAGATTCCAGAACTTTCCCATGTGGACGAGTCCCATTCCATATGCATGGAACTGTTTTTTTTGGGGGGGGGAGCAGGCTCTGGCTCCAGTGCTCACACTTAGCAGTGTTTAACTTCCTGTGTCCCCCCCGGCTGAATGTGGGGTAAAGGTCCCAGTAAAACAAGGCAATAAAATAAGGCTGAAATGTGGTGATATCTGGAGTTCCAGCAACAAATAATTATCATTATTATTATTACTACTACTATTAATACTTCATTATATAAAAATACAACGTTGGTTTAATATACACTAAAGGGCCACATTATTAGGAACCCCTGTATATTACCAGATGGGACCTTTTGTACCCAGAACCACTTCAGTGAGTAAGTTGATGAGCTATGTGTTGGGAGAAGCCTATCTGCACACTGCTGTTGTACTGAGCTGTTATTTTTGCACTAGTGACCTTCCTGTTGCTTTAACAGGTCTGACCGTTCTCCTCTGACCTCTCAATAATAAGGTTTTCAGCCACAGAACTCTCTGGTGACTGGATGTTTTTTGTTCATCACACCGTTAAATTGACGACACTGTAGTGCATGAGAATCCCAGGAGTGTGACTGTTTTTGAGATGCTGGAACTGCCGGGTCTGTCATCAATAATCATGCCATGTTTAAAACCACTGAGATCAAGGGCCATAGCTATTTGGATGTGAGACGCTTGAACTGTAAACAGGAAGAGGGGGTAACCAATGTCAATGTCCATGTGACGTTTGTGACTTTGTGGAAAGCTCCAGAAATTCCAGGGCAGACACACCCTGAAGGAATTATTATGCACATTGCAGGGAGATAGAACGTTTTCCGGATGTGGCAGAGGATTCCCAGCCCACGGGTACCACAGTGCATGATGAGGCGAGCCTGGCTTGGCCCATTTGGTTTCCCCAGGGAGCTCACAGGCCTTTTTAACTGTGATTGAGCCACATTCACGTTTAGGATGCCAGAAAACTAACAGAGCTTTTCCACTGGCATGCGGGAACCAACCCGTGCCCAAGCCGTACAAGAGACGAGTTATAGCACGGTTCTGGCTCACTTCAGTTTTCCACTGCAGAAGGATCGGCCCGGTAAAGGTGTTACCGGGTCTGGAGAGCAACACAGACATAAAACCAAAGAGATGCTTATTTACTGTTCACACGGTATGCATCATAGTTTACTATATAATGATTTCAGCTAGAAATTCTGTGAGAATTGCCACCTTATGTTAGCATCAAACTCTAGCGAAATTAGCATTCACTTGCGCAAATTGGCATAACAAAACCATTTCATTCAGCTGTTCAATAGTGCTTTTTTAAGTAGGAGGTTGTAAATGTTCAAGTTCCAAGTTATCGGGAATGCGATGTGCGATACTATTAATAAGGAATATACAGAATATTAGACTTTTTCCTTAGATAAACCATGTGCAGAACACCGATATCTCTGTGCAATTTGACCAATCATATGGTGATGACACTATCAGCTGGGTTTAGTCGCGCTTTCAGCCCTGCTAGTGAGCACAGCATGTCAGTGCGGATACAGCTCGGGTTTGGGACAGGTGCAGCTTGCATAATTTACAATGGAAAACGGTCAGTTTGTGGTGCGGCTCGGGTGCGGCTCGGTTCTTGGTGGCAGTGGAAAAGTGCCATAAGATCTTCAGCTAGCAGGCCAACATTAGACTTGCTGTCCTGCGCCCGGTACACATCACAGCCAAAGGTTATTTCGAGTGGATCTTACTGATTTCACTGGGCAGCTCCACTGGATCACTGTTACATTTTTTTCCCATGAATCTCTGCAAGTGGTTCATAGCTGGTCACCCATGTGACAGTGTCTGGCTCAAACATGTCTCAAATGAGAGTCAAACAAGTGGCCTTATTTTACAGAACCATCTAAGGGGCACACTATCACAGAAACAACCTCTCCTGAGTCATTTCCAGGTAGTCATGAGGTCATTTAGCTTTATCCTCCTTGTTTTTGCATACTCTCGCTACATCGCTCTGAACCCACTGCACAGAGAGGAGCTCCTTTGCCGTGCAGTAGACACACTGACCACACCTGTGTGTGATAGTCACTGTCACGCACCTGCTCCACTGGACCATCTGGCTGATTAGCTTTTAGAGGTCCTGGAGGGGCAGGTAACCGTATTTGAGGTAGACTGAACTAATCGTGGCTGTATGGTTTAGAAATGCCTGCTGGGTCTGCTCTGAGGAAAAGTCAATATTTGGTATTGCATAATGCTCTCCCCTTGACACGAAGTTCTAGTATATGGCAACAAGAGCATAAAATCTAAAACAAGATTAGCAAAATACTATTTGGTAAATCAAAGAAAAAAATGAGGTAAAGGGACATTCAAAAGGAATTTTGAATTTAGGTTTCAAAACGGCAGTTGATGAAACACCTTAGCATATTTTGCTGTGCTACTACACCTTGCACTCATAATAATATTTGATACTTTATTGATCCCCGTGGGGAAATTGTTTTTACGCCTCCCTCAACTTGCTCTTTGAAGACTTTAGCACTCTAATGCAGCCTGCAAAATAAAGCAGATTTTGGTCCCCCCCCGCCCTATGTCAGCCCAAAAGTCACCCTTTGGCGTCATGCTAAAACAAAGCAGCTATGCAGTTCTGCAGCCGTGTGTGTGTCAGTATGCATGGTTCTGCACCCGTGTGTGTGCCAGTATGCATGATTCTGCACTCGTGTGTGTGGCAGTATGCATGATTCTGCACCCGTGCGTGTGTCAGTATGCATGGTTCTGCACCAGTGCGTGTGTCAGTATGCATGGTTCTGCACCAGTGCGTGTGTCAGTATGCATGGTTCTGCACCAGTGCGTGTGTCAGTATGCATGGTTCTGCACCCGTGTGTGTGTCAGTATGCATGGTTCTGCACCCGTGTGTGTGTCAGTATGCATGGTTCTGCACCCGTGTGTGTGTCAGTATGCATGGTTCTGCACCAGTGTGTGTGTCAGTATGCATGGTTCTGCACCTGTGTGTGTGTTAGTATGCATGGTTCTG